TCCTCCCTTCCCCGTGCCCCAGGGCTGCTCCTTTGCTCCCACGCCAACTGCATGCCTTCTCTGGAACACAGCTCTTATCTACCTCCCAAAAATGGAAGCTTTATCCTATAACTAAGTCCGGCCAATCCGAGGAAAAGGCTTGAGGGTGAGGATGGTTCAGAGAAGAAAAACCAGGCCATCTTCTGAGATCAGGAGTCCTGAGGTCCCAGGAGGATCAGAGCAGCCTTTGAACAGTCTAGTGCAACTCCTTTGACTTCCTAATGAGGAAACTGAGGCCCAGAAAAGGGCGAGACATGCCCACGGCCACACAATGAGAAAGTATCAGGCAGGACTGGGATGAGGGTCTTCTCATGCCAGACCCCATGTGTTTCACCCTGACTCCCTCTGCTCACTAAGACCCAATCAAGGGCTGGCTGTTCCTATGCATTGCATAGATGTAGTACCTTTTAAGTGTTTACCATAGGCCGTCCTGTGAGGATAAAATGGATCAGACACGCCCCTTGCCTCCAGCAGTGTTGTTCACTACGGAATAATAACCCAAACTAGGGCCAGGCAGGGTGGCTCATCCCTGTAATGCCAGCACTTTGGGAGGCCAAGGTGAGAGGACTGCTTGAGTCTAGGAGTTCAAGACCAGCCTGGGCAACACAGGGATAACCCCGTCTACACATACACACACACAAAAGGACAGGGAGAGAAGCTGCGTGAGCCTCAGGCAGATACTGCTATACATGGAGCCCACAGAGGCCCTGAGTGTGCTTCTCTACCATTTCGCTCCCATTTGACCTTAGTCATGGCGTGCAGGAGGGCCCTGCCAGGAGAGTGACCCGTTACTCACCTTCAACCCCTACTGTAAGTGGCCCCAGCAGGGTTTGGGGCTGAAGAGCCCTCCCAGGGAGCTCAGTGCAGCCATCCTACCACTGGGTGGCACTGTGGTGCCTCAGGAGGGGGACCACGCCTAACGGAAACTGCCCACAACAGGGGTGACATGGGGGAGCTTCACTTGGGTCCTCCTGTGCTGGGCAAATTGCTTTCCATCTGCGGTTATGAAGAGGTACATGAAATAGGTCCTGCCTTCCAGGAGCCCACAGTGGAGCAGTCACATGGACAACAAATTAATTGCTCCCATAATAGATGTAATTAGTTGCTCCAATAGAAGCACAAGAACAAGCGGTTCCCACTGAGGGGCCCAGGGGAGGAGGCGGCAACTGAGTCTTGCTGAAGAGTCCTAGGTGGGCCATTCTAGTTCTGGCTGCCTCTAACCGTGCAAGCTCCCAGGGCACTGTGCAGGGGGTTTGGGTGGGGGTGGGGGTGGCATGTGCCCAGGGAGGTTTTGCCCAGTCCGTAGCACGGCCGTCTGTAGGGAGCTGAGGGCTGGAGGCCTCTGTCAGCCACCTTCCCCAGGTTGCAGCCGGCTGGGCCTGGGTGGCCAGGGCCTTTGGTCTGGCTATCCCAGATTGCTTTGTTCCCATCGAAAGCACTTAGCTAAGGGATATGGAAGAGAGACCCTGGTGTTAGGACAACCAGAACACTGGAAGTCTCCCAGTAGGGAAGAAAGGTAACTGGCCTCCTGTCCTCTTGCTGTGCCTTCTGGGACTTGACCTAAAGTCCACGTGACCTTGGCCTGGGTTCGGCAGCCCTCAGGGCTTAGTGACTGCACCTGTAAAACAGATCTTCCGGCCCGGTACGGTGGCTCATGCCTGTAATTTTAGAACTTTGTGAGGCTGAGGTGGGCGGATCAGGAGGTCAGGAGATCTAGACCATCCTGGCTAACATGGTGAAAACCTGTCTCTACTAAAAATACCAAAAATTAGCCAGGCGTGGTGGCAGGCTCCTGTAGTCCCAGCTACTCAGGAAGATGAGGCAGGAGAATCACTTGAACCCGGGAAGCAGAGGTTCCAGTGAGCCGAAATGGCACCACTGCACTCCAGCCTGGGTGACAGAGCAAGACTCTGTTTTAAAAAAAAAGGGGGGGGGGGTTGGGGGTTTCTATATTGAGAAATGAAAAAGTTTAAAGGATCCCTTTTGACTGACCTGAAAGCACACCCTGGTGTCCTGCAGGTGTCGGGGACACCTGGGGAGGAGGATTCTCTTCTGCTGGCTTCAGGTCAGGGCTGGGTCCAGTGGAAAGCCAGAATACATCTTTGTCCTTGGAACACAATTCATGCAGCCGGGAAGTGATTTAATACCTAGTCCATAAATTTTCATTACATTTTTGAAGATGGAACAAAGCCTCTAGTTTTCAAATTTTCTATGCAGAAGTTGACCCATGATGGTGTTGAAAATCACATCCAAACTGTAAAACTTTTACAAAGCACAATAGGAGATGGAATGACTGAGTTTGCAACTAGGAGGTCAGCAAAGGGTTGGCCGGACCCTCGCTCGCATGCCCATCACCAGCAGGGTGCACCTGTTTTCTCCCCCCAGGTCCTCACTGGTGAGGCTGCCAGCCAGGGCTGGGTGTGGCACTTCATGCAGATTATTCAAGCAGATACTCTGCACCTCCTTTTGTTGTTTACAAGCGACACTGGTGACGGGTGATGGGGTGCTTGAAGGCACACAGGGTCTCATGGATCTAAGAGTTTGCTAGAGATGGGGAAACTCCTCACATTCCCTCCACCAGTGTCCCACCTCAGAGCCAGGCTTGCCCACCATGGATGGGGATCCAGGTCATCTGTTAGAGGAATTGGTCCCTTCCAGCTGACTGCTGGAGGCAGTCAGGGAGGCATCAGGGGCTTTGCTCTCAGCTATATTTACATAGCGTGAACAACCTATCCTTTTAAATTGTGCACAAACTGCACCTTTCCAAAAACACTTTTATTTATACATTTCACTGCTAAACAACAGAAAATTCATGTATCTATCTATTTGAATAATGATGAGGGGAGGGAAGAAGGATAGCCAGAAGGGAGCTGATGGGGATTAAGGGAGATAAAGCCCTTTCTGTCCTCTGCCTCCGCCCCTTTACCAACAACTACTTTTTTTTTTTTTTTTTGAGTCAGGGGTTTTTTCTTTTTTCTCGGGGGGGAGGGCGGTGATGATCTCGGCTCACCGCAACCTCTGCCTCCTGAGTTCAAGCAATTCTTCTGCCTCAGCCTCCCGAGTAGCTGGAATTACAGGCATGTGCCACCATGCCCAGCTAATTTTGTATTTTTGGTAGAGGTAGGGGGTCTCTCCATGTTGGTCAGGCTAGTCTCAAACTCCTGACCTCAGGTGATCCGCCTGCCTCGGCCTCCAAAAGTGCTGGGATTATAGGCGTGAGCCACTGTGCCTGGCCAACAACTACTTTTTTCTCTTTTTTTCTTTTCTTTTTTTTTTGAGACAGGATCTCACCTTACCATCCAGGCTTGGGTGCAGTCGTATAATCTCAGCTTACTGCAGCCCCGACCTCCTAGGCTCAAGTGATCCTCCCACCTCAGCTCCCCAAGTAGCAGTAGCTGGGACTACAGGCACATTACAGGCACATGCCACCACACCTGGCTAATATTTTTGTTGTTGTTGTTTTATGTAGAGACAGGGTTTTGCTATGTTGCACAGGCTGGTCTCGAACTCAGCCTGGCTCAGTCACCTGAACTCAGCCACCATGCCTGGCCTTATATAAATGAAGCAAGGGATGTTTTGTGTCATCTTTCCATCAGAGCTTACTGTTACCTTGTCAATATCTTCACGATACATTATCCTTAATACATAAAGAGTTCATGTAAATAAAATAAAAAATTAGTACTCCAATGGAAAAATGAGCAACTGACGTGAAAACTATAGTTCACAAAGACTGAGAATGCCCGGTGTTAGTGAGGTAAAATGGGCCCTCACCTTCTGTGACTGGGCAAGTACTTTTATATAATCTTTCAATTGATGGTACTTTCAAAATTCTTGAATGTGCATACTCTCTGATCAAGCAATTCCACATCTTGAAATTTACCCTGTTTCCACACTGGCCAAAAATAAATATACTAGAATATTCCTTGTAGCATTATTTATTATATAGGCTAATTGAAAAATCACAAAAGTTCATCAACAGTAGACTGGTTAAACTATGGTTTAACCAATCATACAGTGGAATCATATGTAGTATAGTTATTAAATAGGATAAGGTTCATGCCTGTCCTTTGATGTATGCCAATATGCCCTCAGCATATTGTCAAATAAAAAACAAAAAGCAGATTAAAAACTATTATGTTCCCTATGGCCCAGGCACAGGGGCTCACACCTGTAATCCCAGCACTTTCGGAGCCCAGGGCACGTGGATCACCTGAGGTCAGGAGTTCGAGACCAGCCTGGCCAACATGGTATTTTGTATTTTTAGTCTCCACTAAAAATGCAAAAAATTAGCTGGGCATGGTGGCAGACACCTGTAATCCCAGCTACTCAGGAGGCTGAGGCAGGAGAATTGCTTGAACCTGGGAAGCGGAAGTTGCAGTGAGCTGAGATCAAGCCATTGTGCTCCCCTGGGCAACAAGAGTGAAACTGTATCCCCCCCAAAGAAACCAAAACTATTATGTTCCCTATGAATTTTTCTATGTAAAAATATAAATTTATATATACACTGAACATCTGGAAAGTTACATTAAACATTTAGGTGTGGCTAGCTTTGGGGTGCATTTAGAATTTTCTATTTTCTACAGCTCTGGATTGAAAAAAAAAATTATGTCCAGGTGCAGTGCCTCATGCCTGTAATCCCAACACTTTGGGAGACAGAGGCAGACGGATCACCTGAGGTCAGGAGTTCAAGACCAGCCTGGCTAACATGGTGAAACCCCACCTCTTCTAAAAATACAAGAATTAGCTGGGCGTGGTGGTGCACACCTGTAGTCCCAACTACTGAGAGTAGGGAGGTGAGGCAGGAGAATTGCTTGAACCTGGGAGGTGGAGGTTGCAGTGAGATTGTGCCACTGCACTCCAGCCTGGGCAACAGAGCAAGACTCCATCTAAAAACAAACCAACCAACCCCATTTACAATATACCTTCTTGTTATCAGTAAAAATAGTAGGATTCCCATTTAAGGAGAAAATAAACTTTCCAACATTTTAGTCCCTATATCTTTGAATGTCTTATGAGTCATGTGTCCCTCCCCCAGGACAGGGAGGAGCCCCGTCATATCATTTCAGCCTCACAGATAGGAATCTTGAAACTCCATGAGTAGAGGGAGCTTGGCCAGGATCACACAGACAGAAGTGCACACTCAGACTGCTTCAACTAGATATTTCCAGAGGAATTTTTGTGTTTTATTTTGCCTTTTCTGGGAATCATACCCTCCACCCTGAGGATCTTTGGGCACAGCCACTTTGGTATCTTTATTTTCTTGTAGCAGATGCTGTTAGTATTCTGCCTGCACCCTCTTAACCTTTACCATTCCATTGCTTGCCGGCTCAACTTCTGAATGCCAGAACTTGCATCGAATTGCCTGAGAGCATTCTCTGTTCTTCAAAACAGGCCAGAAGAGGCCAGGTGCAGTGGCTTATTCCTGTAATCCCAGCACTTCGGGAGGCCGAGGCCAGGGGGTGGATCACTTGAGGTCAAGAGTTCAAGACCAACCTGGCCAACATGGTGAAATCCTGCCTTCACTAAAAATACAAAAACTTAGTCAGGTGTGGTGGCAGGCATCTATAGTCCCAGCTACTCAGGAGGCTAAAGCAGGAGAATCACTTGAACCCTGGGTGGAGGTTGCAGCCAGCCAAGATCACATCATTGCACTCCAGCTTGGGTGACAGAGCAAGAGTCCATCTCAAAAAAAAAAAAAAAAAAAGGCTGGGTGTGGTGGTTTATGCATGTAATCCCAGCACTTTGGGAGGACAAGGTAGGCAGATCACCTAAGGTCGGGAGTTCAAGACCAGCCTGACCAACATGGAAAGACCCCATCTCTACTAAAAATACAAAATTAGCCAGGCCTGGTGGTGCATGCCTGTAATCCCAGCTACTCAGGAGGCTGAGGCAGGAGAATCTCTTGATCCCAGGAGGCAGAGGTTGCAGTGAGCTGAGATCGCGCCATTGCACTCTGGCTTGGGCAACAAGAGTGAAACTCCATCTCAAAAAATAAAAATAAAAAAAATTTAAAAACTGGCCAGAAGTGAGAGAGAATTAATACCTCCTGGCAGCACAGCAACCCTTTACTTAATCACTGGCAGGAGCTGGTTTACAAATACCCCAGCTTCCTCCCTCTTCAGGTGGGAAAACACTGAGGCAGTGTTTCATGCTGGCTTGCAGGGCTCCGTAGCTCCAGCTGCCCACAGCGGTCACTTGCTTCATGACATACTCTTTGTTGACTTCCTTTCCTCTCTCATTTCCTCTTTCCCTTACTGAAGTATCAAGGGATACCTTCTAACATCACCTAGTTTCACTTAAATCCTTGTCTCAGAGTCGCCTTCTGGGGCTACTCAAACTAAGACACTGTTCTTTGTTAGTAAGTAGAAAATGGGAATCAGCCAGGATGGAGGAGCCAGAAGGGCCATGGCCACACCCCAGCTGGCCCCTTCATGCCAGGTTAGGGCTTTGGAACAGTCTAGAAAGAGGAGACTACCAAGCTTCCTTCACAGTTACAGTTCTCCAGAATAGGACTTGGCAAACTTTTTCTGTAAAGGGCCAGATAGTAAATATTTAAAGTTTCACAGGCCTTTTGGTCTCTATTATGATTGCCCAGCTCTGCCACTGTGGCATGAAAGCAGTGCTAAATTATATATGAAAGAATGGATGTGGCTGTGTTCCACATCCACATCCACATTAAATATATTTTGCAAATAATACTTTATTTGCAAAAAGGCAGCAGGCCAGATTTGGCCTACAGGCTGTTGTTTACTGACCCCTGCTCCAGGACAACAAAGAGAGGCTAGGCAAGCATCTGCCCAGCATGGGTGCTGGCGGGGAGGCAATGCCAGTTGCTGCCTTAGACTCTGTGGGTTCAGGAGCAGGGCTCTCTGCCTAAGGGTCCTGTGGCTGTGCAGCCAATTCAGGAAAAACTCCTACATCTCAGTTGACAGTGGAGCTCTCAATGGAGCTCAGCTTTTAAACTCAAGACAAGCTTTCCACTTCACTTTTATGCTGATAGGTCACGTTTTCCTAATGGGTAGAGTACAGCCCCACTGGAAAAAAATAATTAAGCCCCCCAAGAAGAAAAAGCAAGTGAGGGATATAAACTTGATTACCAATAACTTATGGAGCAATAAATGAAGTCTTCTGTTGGAAACTGAAGGCCCAATATCGATATATGTGAGAAAGCTATGGAAGTACAGGACCAAGTTCACCAAGAGGGATTAGATCCAGAGATGGGTGAAGACTTACATGAGACAACGGCTCTAAATGATATAGAAGCTGGCATGGCGGCTCATGCCTGTAATCCAGGCTACTACGGAGGCTGAGGGGGGAAGATTGCTTAAGGCCAGGAGTTTGAGATGAGCCTGGACAACAGAGGGAGATCCTGTCTCTAAAAATAAATAAATCAATGATATAGGTCTTCTTACCCGATCAACCATTTAAGCCTAGTGTTCCATTAAGTATGTGGAGTTATTTATATCCTACTGCTCAAGGTCATCATCAAGGTCTCATTGGAAGAATTCAAAAAATTGCAACTTCAGGCACAAATAGGTTAATTACATTGTGGAAAACTTGCAAATAATCTAACAAAACTGCAGCAAATACCCAATTCAAGCCCACTCTAGCCATCCTCTCCCACCAAAGTGGGGAGAAAAAAACTGAGAAGTTTGCCCACAGTGGCTCACACCTATAATCCTAGCACTTTGGAAGGCAAAGGTGGGAGGAATGCTTGAGCCCAGGAGTTCAAGACCAGCCTGAGCAACATAGTGAGACCCTGTCTCTACAAAAAATTTAAAAATTGGCCGGGCACGGTGGCTCACACCTATAATCCCAGAACTTTGAAAGGCTGAGGCAGGCGGATAACAAGGTCAGGGAGTCTAAGACCATCTGGCCAACATGGTGAAACCCCGTCTCTACTAAAATACAAAAAATTAGCCGGGCGTGGTGGTGCACGCCTGTAGTCCCAGCTACTCAGGAGGCTGAGGCAGGGGAATCGCTTGAACCTGGGAGGTGGGGGTTGCAATGAGCCGAGATCGTGCCACTACACTCCAGCCTGGCTGGCGACAGAGGGAGGATCTGTCCATCAAAAAAATAAAAATAAAAATTAGCCAGGCATGGTGGCACGCAACTGTAGTCTCTGCTACTCAGAGGCTAAGACAGGAGGACCACTTTGGCCCAGTGCGCTGTGTTTGTGCCACTGCACTCCAGCTTGGGTGACAGAGCAAGACCTAGACTAAAATAAAAATAAAGTAAGAGAGACACTTCTGCAGTTCCCAGTCTATAGGAACGGCTCACTAAAAGACTGAGATAGAAACATAGGACTGTAGAAAACTTCCCCTCCTTATAAACCTTACCAGCGCAGGACTAAAGGCCCATTTACAAAAATTCCTTTCACCTAGTGCATTATGTCTGGCTATTAAGAAAGCATTACAGACCGGACACAGTGGCTCACACCTGCAATCCCAGCACTTTGGAAGGCTGAGGAGGGTGGATCACTTGAGGTCAAGAGTTTGAGAGCAGCCTGGCCAACATGGCGAAACCTTGTCGCTACTAAAAATACAAAAATATCTGGGCGTGGGAGCGGGCACCTATAATCCCAGTCACTTGGGAGACTGAAGCACAAGAATCGCTTGTAGTCAAGATTGCACCACTGCACTCCAGCCTGGGCAACAAGAGTGAAACTTTGTCTCAAAAAAAGAAAAAAGAAATCCTTACTTAGATATGACACCAAAAGCATAAGCAAAGAAAGAGAATAGGATAAATTGGCCATCATCAAAATTTAAAACTTTTAGAACTCAAAAAAACACCATCAAAAATCTGAAAAGTCAAGGGGGTATGGTGGCTTACGCCTATAATTCCAGCACTTTGGGAGGCTGAGGCAGGTGGGTCACTTGAGGTCAGGAATTCAAGACCAGCCTTGCCAACAAGGTGAAACCCGGTCTGTATCAAAAATACAAAAATTTACACACCTGTAATCTCAGCTACTCAGGAGGCTGAGGCAGGAGAATCACTTGAACCGGGAAGGAGGAAGTTGCAGTGAGCCAAGATTGTGCCACAGCACTCCAGCCCGGGTGACAAAGCAATACCCTGATTCAAACAAATAAATGTGAAAAGTCAATCCATAAAATGGGAAAAAACAATTGCAAATTACATGTCTGATAAAGACTATTTCCAGAATATGTAAAGAATTCTTACAACCTAAAAAAAAAAAAAAAAAAA